AATTAGGATTCCATATTAGAATTGTGTTAATAATTGCATGAGAACCCAAATGTTTAGTTGAGCCTATATACGTTCTAGTGCATTTGTGGCTTCCTTATTTCAGTGAAATCATGAGACAAAAACACGACCTTGCTCAGCCTGAGGGATGCAATATGTTTAGCAGCCTAAACCTGAAATGTATCCAGGAAAGTTTTTATCGTTAGCCAATAAAGGTTGAGATTGAGCGCCCCTGCTTAAGCATGTAGGGATTTGAGTGAAAAAAAATTGAGAAATACATGAAAAAAAAAAGAATTGCTAGAAAAGTTATGGGAATTTTGGAGCAAATGAAGTGAAGATCTGAAGATCAAAATTCCAAGAAATCCAAAGAGTTGAAGATACCAAAAGTCAATACAAGTTGGTGAATTCAAAGATATCCAAGATCAAATTATCAAGAAAGTGAAGAATTCAAAGAATTCCATAGTGGTATCGAAAAGTTGTAATTCTAGATTATGTATGCTTGGGTTGCTCAATTAAAAATACCTTGAGGGTAAAGAGATTTTCTGAGGATGGATTCGGAGGGTTGCATAAAATGAGCATAGTTCGGGGTGAGTGGGCGAATGTTTATGAGGATTGTGAGTATTTGAAGTATGGGGGGTTTTTAGGAATTTTAGACACAAATGCATGCGTTGCGGTCTTGGCATAATGGCTGGGTTGGATTGGAGTTATTAATGTGATTTTAATGTGTTTAAAATTTAGTTTTGCTTGGGGGCAAGCAAAAGTCAAGTGTGGGGTATTTTGATATGTGCATAATTAGTTAATTATTTAACATATATTCTTAGTTATTTTTGGTTAATTATGAGAATAATATGGACAAAAGGTACTTAAAATGCTTTGAATTGTGTTTTCAGTCCAAAAGATATGCTTGGAGGCAAAAAGGAGAAAAGGGAAAGCAAGTGAAGATTAAAGAGTGAAAGAAGGACCTACTCGGCGAGTAGATCGACCCTACTCGGCGAGTAGATCGACCCTACTCGGCGAGTACACGACGATATGCCAGAAGATAAATACGACTGCTAATTTAAAGACGGATAAGTATGGACCTACTCGGCGAGTTGATTCTGCTACTCGCCGAGTACCCTCTGTTTTGGGATATCTTTAAAAGACGAATCCTTATCCCATGGGACGGAACTCCTGGCGATTTTTGAAGGATTAGCTGCGACTAAAAGGTTCAGAAGGCGCTAAGGAACCCTAAGCTTCAAGAGTTGGAAGAATTCAAGCAATTAGGTTAATTCTACCACTTAGACTTAGGAATTAAACATGTTTGCTTTCATAAACTTTGTTTTTGTGTTTGTTTCTACTGCAACTATGAGCTAAACTCGTTTTTGTTTCTGTTTGGGGAATACCAAAGAACTCCTATGGTTTAATTATTAATTCTTGTTTAATTGTCTATTGGTGATTTATTAAATTAAGTTTGTTAAAGAACCTTATGTATTAATCACTACTATTTTCTGTTAATTGGAAGGCAATTAGGTTGCATGAACATCACTTAATTGTTAACCTCATATGTCTATGTGAATGCTAAAACGTATGCTTGGAAGTAATGAGTATGAAACTAAGATTAATAAGAAAATAGGAAGATTAATGTGTGAGCTTGTTTGAGAAACCATCAACAAGAGGTTAATTGAATTAATAACTTAATTAACCATTACAAATCTTATTTAATCCAAATAATTAATCTAGGGAATTAATTAGTTTAAACACTTGATCAACGCTTAAATTAGTTAATTGTCTAAGGGTTAGGAGTAATGAATATGAACCTAACTATTATCATTGGTAACCAATAGCAATTAATCCACCTTAACTTAAATAACCATAGGAGTGAATTGGTTGAACCTAAATAGAAACATCTTTATTAAATTTGGTAAATAGTTGTTGCTTTAGTTAATTAGTTAATTTAGTTTGTTTAAGTTTCTAGTCTTGCAAAACTAGAGAAAAACCCTTTACTTTTATTATTTGTTTTAGTTAAAATTAGCTATTAGTTTAATTGCCCGTTCCCTGAGTTCGATACCTTACTTATCAATCTATACCACTTATAGACAGGTTCACTGCCTTTGTGTGCTCAAATTACTAATAAAAAGTAGGGATAAAACTAGTTGAATTTACACACATCATAGATCTTGTTGGGTTTTGAGCATTCTAACACTTCCTAAGTGTACATGCAACCCTAATAACCTTGGATCTATGTTTGTCTAATTATCATGCAAAGTTGAATTCCAAGGATATATTCCTATCTAGCATACATGGGGAATAATTTTAACTTGAATGATAGATATAATAACTTACCTTGTTGTTGCTTATGTTCCTTGAAACCTTATGAGAATAGCACCCAAGTGTGATGCCTCAAATGCTTCACACAACACCAAATGCTCTTGGAAAGACTTTTGAGAGAATGCACACTACTTGAAATCGGCCTAGCCCTCTTGTTTCACACGTGTAGCCGATTTTGGTGGAGAATATGATTCTTATATAGTGTTGACACATCTAGGGTTACACCATGTAAACCCTAATGTGTCATGAGTCTTCATTTCCATGACCCATGGGTTTGTAACTCCCATGGAGCATCCATGGAGCATCCTATCGGTGGAACCTAACTTGATAATCCATGGAGCCTCTTAGCCCACTATACAAGATATGGATGATTTACATAATCAACCCATATATTTAATTAGTTATCTTTTGATCACTTAATTAATTCTAAATTAATTCTTGATCAAACTAATCAAATAATATTATTAATATATTAGAACTTATAATATATTAATAATCTCCAAGTGTTATTTCTCTCATTTAGTCTATCCAATTGCATGGTGCCATGCAACCCAAATGGACCATGCCGGGTCGGGTCAAGTACATACCAGAAATAGTTATGGACTTAGACACCTTATCCAACAGTCTCCCACTTGGATAAGTCTAATAACTATTACTGCAAGTATGACTTCAGGAACCGATCGGCAATCGTAGCTCTTTTCAAGGTTTCTCGGAACTGAGAAGATGATGGTATGCCATTTAAGATAAGTGATCATATAATCCTCTGTTCTAGATATCAGTCGGACAAATACATGGAACAATGTCTTACTTATTGTCCAACAGTTTGTTTCCCTATTTCCGATTTGTTTGACAAAGAACTTAATTGAACACATCAACTTAGTTCCGACCGGGCCCGGTACATAGGTCAAAAAAAATCATCGAGGGGCCCAGATATCAGCTTCTAATCCAAGAAGGAACAGATAAACTTCGACTCATATGTTTGTTCTACCACTCTTTGAATTACACACAAAAGTACGATTTATAACATCGAGTTACCAATGCGTTTTCGTACAATCAATGCATAACCAACTTGTAAGTAAAAAATCATATCTCTAGGTTTGAAGACTTATATGATATTACCGTCTCACGATCACTCGAGATAGAATTCCATGAAATGATTCCAGTCAGTGTGGGTTGAGTCCAATGCTCAGAACTTATGAGCACTCATGATTGTTGTAGCCTTGTCTTACACCTTAGACCTCTGCAACCAATCCTGACAGTCTTGATTCATACCTACTTCCGACATATGACCGACTGTGGAGGTTTGAATAATATGTTATACCAAACAAAATTATTCTGGAAGTCAAAACATGCAAAAGAAATATAGTAAACGATTGACAAGAGATAGCAACACTTTACTCATAAATAAAACACCTTTTATTCATCATCTAATGTCAATTACACTTTACAAATTTCAAGGTTATCTAACTACTAAATCTAATATCATCCTTCAGCCCTATGCTTCGAGCATGCTGGAGATGCTTAACCCGAGTCAGTCCCTTCGTGAGGGGATCTGCTGGGTTCTCATCCGATGATACACTTTTTGCCACGAGGAGTCCTTCTTCTATTCGATGTCTAATAAAATGGTATTTTCTGTCGATGTGTCTGGATCTCCCATGATCCCTTGGTTCCTTGGCTAAGGCAACAGCGCTTTCACTATCACAGAAAATTTCCATTGGCTTTTTAATAGCTGGTACAACTCCAAGGTCTCCGATGAAGTTCTTTAGCCATATAGCCTCCTTTGCCGCCTCGCTCGCTGGAATATACTCTGATTCGCAAGTTGAATCAGCCACTGTCTCTTGCTTGGAACTCTTCCAAGAAATTGCTCCACCGTTTAGGGTAAAGACCCAGCCCGACTGAGAGCGGAAATTATCCCTATCAGTCTGGAAGCTAGCATCACTATACCCTACAACTCTCAAGTCATCACTCCCACCGAGGGTAAGGACCCAGTCCTTAGTCCTTCGTAGGTACTTGAGAATATTCTTAACCGCACTCCAATGTGCCTTGCCAGCGTTCCCATGAAACCTGCTAACCGTGCTCAGGGCAAAGGCTACATCAGGTCGAGTACACGTCATAGTATACATGATCGATCCTACAACCGAAGCATAAGGTATTCGACTCATTTCTGCTATCTCAGCCTCATTGGAAAATCAACACAAGTTTTTGAAGTAAGTTTGGATTCTTTGACATATTAATCTCTTTTTATTACTATATTGCTTACAAGTTAAAAAATTTAGCTTGCTTTTAATTTTATAATATTTCTTCCAGGTTTGTGACTGGATGTTCAAGAGGACCTTTGCTAGGATTCAAGTATTTGGAACCTTTATTCTATATATAGCAGTATGATGCTTTACTCTACCACCACCCCCTGCTTCCTAAACACGGTTGCAATCGCATACACAACCACAATTTCACTACCCTTTAGTACAATTGTTGTGATTGTTTTGATATAGATTTTAGTGACATCACCTTTACTGATTCTCAGGGGTATTGCTGGAAAAAACAGCAAAGCTGCATTCCAAGTTGTTGCTCACACCACAAATGAAATGAGCTGATTCCAGAAGCCCTTTGCAGCGTTTTAAATCCGATGTAATTTTTTTTACTTGTGGAATGATTGATTCAACTTTGTCTTAATTGTTTTATTATTGGTGTTTTATATGTGTCCAGCTCAAGCTATTACTATTGAAGCTGATGAGAGAGAAGATGGGAGCTATAGAACAACGAGGTTAAACCACACACACACACACACTCTCTCTCTCTCTCTCTCTATCTATCTATCTATCTATCTATCTATCTATCTATCTCTCTCTTATTGAGTGAATCATATTGTAGGTATGATATTGACATGTCAAAGTGTATCTACTGTGGATTTTGCCAAGAAGCATTCCCTGTTGATGCCATTGTTGAAGGGCCCAACTTTGAGTTTTCCATCGAGACTCATGAGGTTTTTGTAAATTAATCCAAAAATAATATTATATTTTATTTTTAAAATTGAAGGTAAAAGTACTTATGATAAGTATACCTAATTTTATCAGTGAAAATTGGTTTGTATTTTGATGACATTGGTATAATTGGGTTTGACTTTGCTGGTTGGTGCATCGTATTGTTAAGGTTAATATTTTTTCATCCCATGTATTTGCTCAGTATGTTTAGTAATGATTTCGGTTTGCTTTGTTTTTCCTTTTGGATTTGGATGTTTATGGGTGTTGTTTTTGTTGTTTAATTATTTATAAGTTGGATACATATTGGTGTATGGAAATTTGGGAACTGAATGTTTTTTTTTTGTTTTTTGTTTTTTGTTTTTTTTTGTTTTTTTTTTTTTTTTTTTGATGTGGTGTCTGGGGGAGATGAGATTGTTGATGTTGTTGGTGAAAACACAAACTGAAGCATATTTCTCAAAATATGATCAGGTTGGTTCAGTGCCAGATCTTATAGAGCAAATTCATAGAACAACTTCAAGATTACTTCTTCACATTAGTAAGTAAGATGATAACAGCTGCAAGGTTTGTATTGATAATGCAATGCTCTCTATTTTCATCATATATTCAAGAAATAGCAATGTAATTTCCATAAAAAAATTATAAATTATATTCTTTGAAAAATTTGCTAGATTGGTAGGTTTAAAAGTAGAATGTCCTAACAAGAATTAATTTTAAAACTAGAATGAAAATGACAAGTGATTTTGTGTTGTGTTTACAGAGTCGATGACAGAGAATAGCTTTGGAGTTAGAAGAGGAAAAGAGAGATCAAGTTGAAAGAGATAAGATGCTGCAAATGCAAGTGTTGGATTCTTCATTTCAATTGTTAGTACGAAACACAGAGTAGATTAGATGAATGCAAATTTATATATTGTAAGAAATAGAACTGTATGACATCAAATTTTATGCAATGCATTGTATTTTTCATATATAGTATTTTATTTCTATTATGAAACCTTAAATACAAATTTAATTTGAAAATAAGTAAATCTATAAATTATATTTTTTTTTAAACATTTAAAACTATGATACGCAAAAATGTGTGTCATCTTCATTTATGACACGGCCTTTTTTGACAAGGGCTTTCTTGATACGCATTGTGTGTCATTAACACGCATGTCATAAATTTACGACACGCGAATCCATGTCGTCTTCCTTTATGACAGGGCCTTCCTTGATACGTATTGTGTGTCGTAAACGCGTGTCGTAGTTGAGCGTCGTAAATGCGCGTCGTCTATAGACGACGCGCAATAACGCGTCGTCTCTCTTTATGACATGGCCTTCCTTGACGTGCATTTGTGCGTCGTCTGAGCCATTTACGACGCTCAATGAGAGTCGTAAAAGGTTGTTTTTCTAGTAGTGTTAGGTAAGTCTCCTATATTGGAGTCCTGCATGCTGAATCTCTTCAGCACCTTATCCAAGTAGGTACTCTGACTAAGTCCAATTAGTCTTTTACTCCGATCTCTCAAGATCCTTATCCCTAAAATATATACAGCTTCACCAAGGTCCTTCATGGAAAAACACTTCCTAAGCCAGTACTTTACTTCCTGCAGGGTTGGAGTGTCGTTTCCTATGAGTAGTATGTCATCCACATACAACACCAAAAAGCTAACTATACTCCCACTAGCCTTGACATACACACAAGATTCATCTTCACTCCTAGAAAAGCCAAATTCCTTGACCTTTTCATCAAAGCAAAGATTCCATCTGCGAGGTGCTTGCTTTAATCCATAGATGGATTTCTCAAGCTTACACACTCTATTAGGGTACTCGCTACTGACAAAACCTTCTGGCTGACTCATGTAAACATCTTCAGCCGACTTTCCATTAAGGAAAGCGGTTTTGACATCCATTTGCCAAATTTCATAGTCATGAAATGCGGCTATGACTAACATAACCCTAATAGACTTAATCTTGGCTATTGGAGAAAAGGTCTCATCATAATCCACTCCAGGAATTTGAGAGAAGCCCTTTGCGACCAGTCGAGCCTTATAAGTGTGTACATTACCATCCATGTCGGTCTTCTTCTTGAAGATCCATTTGCACCCTACTGTCTTACGACCTGGTACATTCTCAACCAAGTTCCAAACTTGATTGTCATACATGGATTGTATCTCGCTATCCATAGCCTCTTTCCATTTAGCGGACTCGGGGCCTGTCGTGGCTTCCTCGCAGCTGTTAGGGTCATCTTGACTTACTAGTGTCCCATCACTAATAACTATCTCACCTTCTGCAGTAATATTTGAATCCATAGTAATGCTTAGGTGCTCTCCTAACTCTCGTGGAACGCCTCAGTGGTACAGATTCATCAATTGGCTCAACAGGAGTTTCCTCCTCAAGTTGAGGGCTAGAGTTTGAAGTTCCTTCACCACTTGACTCTTGAATTTCTTCAAGATCAATTTGCCTCTCACTATATCCTTTTCTTATAAACTCTCTTTCTCGAAAGACTCCTCTTCTTGCTACAAAGATCACATTATCACTAGGTCTGTAGAAGAGGTAACCAAAGGATTGATGTGGGTAGCCGATGAAAATACACCTCTCGCTTCGAGGTTCGAGATTATCATGAGTCTCGCGTCTCATGAAAGCCTTGCAACCCCAAATCTTGATGTGGTCTCGTTTGGGTACTTTACCAGTCCACATCTCGTGAGGAGTTTTGGCAACTTTCTTTGTAGGGACTAGATTAAGGATATGGGAGGCAGTCTCTAAGGCATACCCCCAGAATGAGATTGGTAGCAAAGCTCGACTCATCATGGAACGAACCATGTCTAACAAGGTTCGATTACGCCTCTCAGCCACACCATTCAACTGCGATGTCCTGGGAGGTGTCAATTGTGAGACAATCCCACATTCCCTTAGATAGTCGAGGAACTCTGAACTAAGATACTCACCACCTCGATTAGATCGAAGCATCTTAATGTTCCTGCCCAATTGATTCTCGACTTCCTGTTTAAATTCCTTAAACCTTTCGAAAGTCTCTGACTTATGCTTGATTAAGTAGACATATCCATATCTACTGTAATCATCAGTAACAGTCAAATAATAACGATTAGCATCCCTTGTGGCATGTTTGAATGGTCCACACACATAAGTGTGTACAAGGTCCAACAAACCTTCACCCCTCTCACACGAGCCTATGAAGGGTGACTTCGTCATTTTTCCAAGTAAGCATGATTCGCAACTATCATTTGACTTTAGGTCAAATGACTCCAAGACTCCATCCTTTTGGAGTTGGCCTATGCGTTTCTTGCTTATATGTCCAAGACGACAATGCCATAATGATGCATTATCCAAGTTATTATTATTAAGAGAATTAATACACAAAACATTATTTCCTATGTTATCTACAACAGATACAGCTTCATACATACCATCACAAGGTAATGCTTTAAAATAAAGAACATTATTAAAGAAAGCATTAATCGAACCAACTTCATTATCAAATGAAAAGGTGAAACCTTGTTTATACAATGCAAGAAAGGAAATAATATTTCTTGCCATTTCTGGCAAATAACAACATTTATTCAAATCTAAATTTAACCCACTACTTAGCGATAAATTATAAACTCCAATCTTGGTGATAGGTGTAACTTTCCTATTCCCCATGATTAAGTTTATTCTTCCTTGCTCCACATTCTCACTTCTTCTTAGTCCCTACAAGTCACAACAAATGTGAATACCACAACCGGTATCAAGGACCCAAGATTTAGAATGGGGTGAGTTATTAGAAATGATAGTGTAAATACCTGCATGGTTGGGTTTAACTTTCCCATCCTTCACATCCTGCTGGTATTTTGGGCAGTTCCGCTTCCAATGTGATTTTTCATGGCAATAGAAGCATTCAGCCTCTTTTGGGTCAGAAGAAGGAGTGACGAAACCTTTCTTGGTTCCACTTGAAGAATAGCCATGAAGGGTCCTAACCTTGGTACCCTTCGAAGAACTCTTTCTCTTCTTCCCTCGACTTTTCCCGATTGCCAAAACCGGAGTGGAGTTTTGGAGTAGGAGTGTTAACAACCGGCTTCCCCTTAAGACCTGATTCTACGGTCTTGAGAAGTCCCTGAAGTTTTCTGAGTGTGACCTCTTCCTTATTCATGTGATATGTCATGCGGAATTGATCATATCACGATGGTAAGGAGCGCAAAATTATATCTATTGCAAGCTCCTCAGGGAAGTTCACATTAAGCTTCAGCAATCGATCCACATACCTTTGCATTTTCTGCATGTGGCTTGTGACAGAATCCCCGTCCTTCATCATGGTTGTTATCATGGAGCAGATGATTTCGTACCTCTCTTGTCGTGCACTTTGATGGTATCATTCCATCAAATCTTGGTGCTTTTCATAAGGGTAGAAATCCTCATAGGACTTTTGGAGTTCCGCTGTCATCGTGGCCATCATGATGCATGCTACTTTCGTAGCATCCCTTTCATGTGCCTGAAAGTCAGCGATCTCATGAGGAGTTGCAATTGTCTCATCAATCTCCTTAAGCTCCTTGTCAAGGACATATTCTTTGTCCTCGTAGCAGGTAATCATCCTGATGTTTCTGATCCACTCATTGAAGTTGGATCCATCAAAAGTGACTTTCCTACACAAGTTCATAAGGGTAAAGGAGCCATTAGGATTAGAGCCAGAAGCAGCATTGTTTAAAGACATATATTAAGGAAGAGGACAAGATTAGTTTAGATATTAAGAGAGTCCTTAATAAAACACCCAAATGTAATATTAAGGCTTGGATCCAATCACAATATATTATAACTTAGAAGAGGTATGACATAATCCAAGCTATAACATATTTGAAAGGTAGGTGAATGATGATTCACCAATTTCCACCACGTAAACCGAAATATTAGATATTAGGTTTTTGATGGGGTTCTTAGAAATTCCTAGATTCTTTGAGATTCAACGAACTTTTCAAAGGCATGTTTCAATCTCGAGTGTGCCCTCCAAGTTTTGTGACTGGGATACCGAGGATCACAAAACGAGGTGTGAAGTAACCATGCAAATCACTTGGTACCCTTAAAGTTTATCACTCAATCGATGTGCCGGTAAACCACACACGCTCCACCGATACTATAATGAACCTTAAGTCACCCTTTACCTACCTTGTTAAGTCCAAGTTAGTGTGCCGGTTAACCACACACGCTCCACCAACAACTTAGACAAAGTGTAAAGTGTAATTTCATGGATTAGCACCTTATTCACATTTTCCTAAAGTAACTAAGATTGGGAATTTAATAAAACATTTAGTTACTTTATAATATTCATCATACTTTTAATGAGAATTTATAAGTCCTTGTCCTACCCGTTCGGGTAACGACCCTCCACCAGTCAAGCAAGCGGTGGGTGAGAATGGACACCCATTAAGTTGCCATTTTATAGGCAACAACCTTATACCCACCTTATAGACCGGCTTCGTGAATGAGGCGTACTAGTGGTAAGACGACTTTGTTCTTATATATATATATATATATATATATATATATATGTATGTATATATATATATATATATATATATATATATATAATTATTAAATTATAATAATATAAGTATAAGGGTTGAATTTTAACTTTTAAAATTGTAAGGGTTGGGATTTTAAGTTTTAATAAGACTTTACTTGTTCCAAAACTTGAGGGCATGTTTTGTAACTTTCAAAACTTTTCATTTCTTGTAACTTATGAGTTTAATAGAGTAATAAAATGAAGACTCTTCATTTTCCTAACTCTTGTGTTCTTTTAATGGTTTTAATTCAAGTGTGACTCTTATTTTTCCATAACTTGAAGA